GAATAAATTTTGGTCCCCATCTCCTATCTGTGGGACCTCCCCAGACCCTGTTCATTGAGTAGGCCAAATACTTTCATCATAATGTTTAAAAACTTGCAATTACCACAAATCCAATTTTGCACATCTTCATTGGTTTTACTTGCAGTTTTCAAACTGGGCAGCGGTCTGGGATGAAAATGGTTCAGAATGCTTCATCCTACCACATGATCAAATTATATTTATTTACAGCCAAAAAAGAAAACTGAAGGAAGGTACAGAAACAGCTAGACTGGTTAGAGCTCTCTCCTGTTTCATTTGAATATGGCTTGAACAGTTCGTGGCTTGTGGTTGGCTGAGACTCAGCTATTTCAAGAGTAGGTTACAGTCTTTTTGCATTCAGGTTAGATTACGGTTCATTATGTATGGAGAAACTTTGGCCTAAAGTTAAAATGTGTACAGTCCCAGCTTTATGACAATATAATAATAACAAATACAAATAATTCATTCACTAAGAGATAGTGAAACCTATGTCTACAGTACAAAAAAGATACACTGGAAACAAAATGGTTCACAGGGGAAAACAGGTAGGGAAAAATTTGCAAGACAAATACAAATAAAGCTCACAATTTTAATATCCAGTAAGATTGGATCCAGGCTACAATGGAACATAGATAAAACAAAGAAGCTCCACTTAGGAAAACAACAGCTAAAATTCAAAATGAAAATACAGTAGTTATTTGTACACCAAGTAATATAGATTCCTATTAAAAAATCAGAAACTATTGAAAAAGGATGCTTTTTGTCTTTAGGATATAGAAAATCACAATGTTTCTCCTATCCTAAAAATGAAGTACAGGCTGGTCATATAAAAATAAATAACTATTTTTGAACCAATCAGAGATGAAGTCACAAGGTGACCCAGTGAACTTTTAGAAATCACAGCTTCCTGTAAGGACAGAAAGTACACAAACTGCTTCACCTTTGGCAGAGCATAAAAGAAATAAGGAGACTTCATAAAGCTAGGTAAGAAATAATTCTGCTAATCATACTTTATTTTTGTCATCAAATGTTTTTCTTTACCTGCCTTCATTTTGGACTAACTGAATACACTATTTTAATGATGTTAACCTATCTCCACTACCGGCTTCTTAGGTTTATCATTTTAAACTCCCCACCTAGGCCTTTCAAGAGATATCCTTAACAACTATTTAACCTAAATAGTTGTGTATTGCTTAGTACACTGTAATAAAATTAGAAAGTATATTTTCATTTCCTTCCTTTTATACTTTGTGGTATAATTCTCCATATTTTATAATCTCACAATACATTGTTAAGATTTTGCTCAAGATAATTATTTTTTCACGAATTTACCTAAAATTACTTGAGAGAGAAAATCTGAACACTGACTACGATAGGAAAAAAAAGTGTTAAATGGCTATTCATGCTGGGCGTGGTGGTGCATGCCTGTAATCACAGCTCTTGGAGGCTGAGATAGGAGGATGGAGGATTGTTGCGAGTTTGAGGCCAGCCTGGGCTACAAAGTGAGTTCAAGGCCAGCCTGAACTGCATAGTGAGACTGTCTCAGACAAAAATAAATAAATAAATAAATAAATAAATAGCTATTCATTAAAAATACCAGGCTCGAAGGGTTTCAGAATTAAAAGGAATAGCTTCATACTACTTAAACTATTCTAAAATATAGTAAAAGGAAGTCTTTTAAAAACTTTTTATAAGTGGATATGTCACTGATACTAATATGTAAAATAAATTTCACACACAAAAAAAGTGACCAATCTGACCGCCAAAAAAAATCACAAACAAAACACTAGCGAACAACCCATCAGCACATTACAAGAATAATACAAGAATATTAAAAGAAAATGATTGAGTAGGGTTGGAATGTTCTAGTATTACAAAGATGGTTTATTATTAGGAAAATTTAATAATGTAAAATTAAAAACAGAAAACAAGAGAGAAAGCTCACATGGTCATTATATTGATGAGGCAATAAGTTTACCTGCAGTGGCAGACTCCAAATAAAAATAACTTAAACAAAGCTGGGCGTGGAGGCGCATGCCTGTAATCCCAGCACTCAGGAGGCTGAGGCAGGAGGATTGTTGCGAGTTCGAGACCAGGCGGGCTACAAAGTGAGCTCAGGGCCAGCCTGAACTGCATAGCGAGACCCTGTCTCAAAAAGACAAAACAAAACAAAAAAAACCCCAAACAAACATACAAAAAAACCCAAAATACAGTGAAAGTTTATCTCTTCTGAAACAGACCGAGCATATGTACTTCCGTAATGACATGTGACACCCTAGTTTTGGTGGGTGCATGTGGACTCAAGTAAAATTAGGGAATTCTAGTAACAAATGAAAAAAAGGGAATATAGACATTAGAGACTATCAAGTAGAATCTACAATAGCCATCTCCATGATAATACAGCATGTCAAAAAGAAAAAAGCAATTCTTCAGTTTTTAATTAACAATATAATAAAAAACATTAGCATGACATCAGTGTAAAAACCTGAAATGCAGGTGTTTTTTAGAAAAAGTACTACATACATCACCATTAAAATCAGAAATAAGAGCACTCACAAGAACTACAACTACCCAATAATTTTCATGTAGGTATTACCTGATACAAAGTAAAACATGTAAATGAAATAAAATGTATAAAGGAGGAAAATAACTTATAAATTGTTTACTGATGAATAAAACACATACCTAAAAATATGCATGTAACATACCTCTCATGACCATGTGGATTAACCAGGCAGTTCTGCTTTGCTGTCTTAATTCAACATTTCTGTTCTCAATCACTTAATCATTTAGCAACTTTCATTTAAGGTTATTCACACTAGAAAATGTTTTAACAATTTGGAGAAGCATCTTCAATACAGGGTAAATTTATCTGTAGGCCTCTGGAGACTTATGCTTACATGTTCCCTCTCAGCTTTTCTTTTAAATAAATGATGGATATACTCCAAAACCAAGATTTTTATGGTTGTTTCGAAGCTGACTTTGTTGCTGTTTTTTTTTTTGTTTTTTTTTTTCAGGTTTTTTTCCAGTACTGGGAATCAAACTCACGACCTTGTACTTGCCAGGCGGGCACTGTGCCGATGAGCTAAATCCCTAGCCCCTAAACTGACTTTCTCAACTAGGCTCACAAGGCAGTACTGAGATTTACGCATTTATAGTTCCAGAAACTCAAACAGCAGGAGCTTGAGCAAGTGTCCCACACCACAGAAACTGAATAGCCAGCGCTGACATGACAACGTATCTGAGCCTGCATTGGGAAGTTCTGGTCATATTAAAATACTTTCTGTCTGCTGTATGACACCATTTGAATGGATTGTTATTTTAAGCTTAATTTCTTAATTTTAGAGGTTTGTTTTTTCAGACACAAAACTTCCTATATTTTATGGTATAAGTTGCTTAAAGTATTGGGTCCTTTTTAAAGTGGAATATCCAACTTGGAACCAAAAATGTGAGAGTTATGTGAGAGCTCAGTAATACTTTGCTAAAGTAATCTACTCTTTCATCAGCAATATCCTACCTTTCTTTACATTTCAAAATGAGACAAACTGAGCCGGGCATAGTGGCACATGCCTGTAATCCCAGCATTGGGGAGGCAGAGGCAGGATGATCGTTCTGAGTTCAAGACCAGCCTGGGCTACAAAGTGAGCTCAAGGCCAGCCTGAACTGCATAGAGACCCTGTCTCAAAAAGACAAAAAAAATTAAAAAAAATAAAATAAGATAAAAGTCAGGGACGAATTCAAGAAAGTAAGACTACTTTTTTGTGTATCCCATATTTCTTTCTCTTTGAAATTTTTTTTTTTTTTGTCTTTTTTGAGACAGGGTCTCGATACGCAGTTCAGGCTGGTCTTGAACTCACTTTGTAGCTCAGGCTGGCCTCGAACTCGAAACGACCCTCCTGCCTCAACCTCCCGAATGCTGGGATTACAGGCATGCGCCACCACGCCCAGCTTTTACTCTTAGAAATTGCCACCCTTGTGTGTCACCATTCTGGTAAGGTCATCAACTAAGGTCCATTTCTCTAACCCAGGAGATGAAAAGCAGAAAGTGACTGAGAAGGGAGCTGGCAGGTAAAGAGGTGGAGGAGGTCTGTGTCTTTGTGAGGGTTTGAGCCACGTACACCTGTGAATGCTAGGATCTGTCTTTCTCACTGTATGGACAGAGCTTGTTTGAAGATGAAGTTAGCAGAGACAATCACTGAAGTGAGAAATGGAGATACAGAGAAACACGTGGAAGGGCATCGTTTGAGCAGTTGGCGCAAGCTATACCTAAAGAATGGACTATAATAGAATAATTCAAATAAGAAGGTAGAACATTTTATTTAATCAATTATCAACTATGCTGAGAACAAACCTAACTTTAGGATATCACTTTAAACATTTTAAAGTGTAAGTACTACATAACAGCTCTGTACTTTAATTTTTGTCACACTTATTTAAGTTACATTTATGCATTTCACAAAAGTCTAGTTAGTTTCGTCAGCATTACCGTGGTGCTTGTGCCACTGTTTCAGTATTTTAATGTATTTGGCATATTTTACAAAATTCATTAGAAAAATGAATGATAAACATAATGAATATGCTATGTAAGTGGGTTTAGATAATCTGAAAGAAAGTTTGGAAACAATTCTTTTTAAGTTAACTTTAATTTTTAGGTCTTCAATTTTCAGACACATATCCTTATATATTTTTTGAGAAAAAATAAGAAAATAATAAATAATATTAAGACAATAAACGTAACTCAAATAAGATCTAATGTAATGAAACAATTAAAAAACATTTTTAACACACTTTCAACAGTTATCATATCCTGCTAGCTACATGGGTATTAAATGGACTTTTGGCTTACTCATTTTTTTTTAAAGAAAGTCAAATCTGGGGCTGGGGATTTAGCTCAGCGGCAAAGCGCCTGCCTGGCAAGCACAAGGGTATTGGTTCGGTTCCCGGTACCGGAGAAAAACCAAAAAAAAAAAAAAAAAAAAAAAAAAGAAAGCCAAATTTAATGAAATTTTATAGTTGCATGCTAGAAAAATAAAAAGTCTCCACCAGAAGATAAATCAAAACCTATATGTATAAGCAGACTGAATATGTATAAAAAGGCAATTACATTATACTGAAGTGTATCACTGACTTGTTTGCTCACATAAATGACTGTAATGAGCACAGAAAAGTGAAGGCCTGAACAAATATTAATAAAGAATGATACAAGATGGCATAATTGAACACAGAATGTATTTTAAATGATAGTGATGTTTGTATAATCTCTTTTTAGCTAGCTGAAATAAAAATGTTTGAACAAAGTTCTTTTTAAGTTTTTTCAAGTATTAATTAAATATTTTATTTAACAAAAATTATATACCAGTAAAAGCTAGGAATCTTATACAGCAAAGCTTACAGGCTATTGCTAGCTTGCATCATGTCAAAAATCTCATTTCTAGTATTTCGAACATAAAGTATATGTACTATCATTGGTGTTTTTGCAGGAATATAGGCATAAAAAAAGTCAAAATAGGAAATTATTATTACAAAGTTTGTTTTCAAAAGAATAATTCACAGAACTCCTATAGATGTCAATCATATTTATGTACTATAAATATTTAATATAAATTTACATGTAAAGCTTTCTGTTTTATCAAGTAGTGTAATAAAAGCCTCCTAGTTAAAATTTTGGTATTGAAGCATTATGATTCTTAAGATATATTAACAATAGTAGCACACAAATACAAAATCTATTGTTTTTGCATATGACTCAAAGTAGATATTGTACAAGAGACTCAACCAAATCTTTATTTAGAATCATAGAATTTGTTTAAATTGTTTTGTAATTTTCTGTCTTTTATGTATTTTTAACCTATTATTAGTTGCATGGATATTTGGGTTATGTCCTCTTGACTATTTATTTCATCATTGTATGATTTTCACCTTTCATAATTATCTTTGCTATAAAATTTCCTCTGTCTGATACTGACGACCAGCCAATAGTTTTTTTGCATGATAAATCTTTACCATCTTTAATTTAGCCCACTAGTGTTTTTGAACTTCAAGTGTCTTTTCGTAGGCATCACATATAGTCACGCCCCACATAATGGCTTTTTGGTCGATGAAGAACTGAATATATGATGGTGGCCCAATGAGATAGTATCATCTGGTGACATCACAGCCAATTAGTTTAAGTACACTCTGCAATATTTGCACAATGAGGTCACATAATGCAGTTCTCAGAACATATGACCATCACTGAGCCATGTGTGGATGCAATGTTTTTTAACCCAATCTAACCATCTCTGAATTTTACTTGGAGTCCTTAGACTACTTACATTCTACATGAGTACACATATGATTATGTTTAGGTCTTTATCACACTGCTATTGGTTTTCTGTGTTCCATTGGTCCCCCCTGTCCTGCCCCCATTTTCTACCTCTTCTAGGATTGTTTTTATTATCCCATCTTATTTTCTGGTTGGGTTATACTAGTTATAACTCTTTAGTAGCAGTTGCTTTAGGGTTTATAGTGTAAGTCTTCAATTTATCAATTTACCTACGGGTTATATGACACCACTTCATGCATAGTATACGTTACTGCAGTTGACATCTCGCACGGACTGCCGAACTGTAAAAATGACCATGCAAGCCAAAACCACAAAAGCCGTCTTTGAATCTATGGGGAATTTTACCAATGTTCTGTGACTTTAAAAAACTAAAAGACCTGAGTTAGTAGTGAATGTCTAGAAATCGTTTGTCTTTAAATGTATAAAGTATTAATTTTCTTTTTCTGCAAAGAATTAGTCATGCAGTTTTAACACTGCTTTTCTTCCTCATTTAAAATGCAGCACCTTTAGTCTTCTGTGGTGTTGTACTCTTATTCACGTTTTGGTCAACTTCCTACATTTTAAACTTTTAATGCCATCAAACTTTTTAGTGTCATTAAATAGCTGAGAGCTCCTCTCATGCAGTTTCTTGCCAGTCACATTCTCTAGGACATCTTTATTCTTTATTTTTTTGGTTTTTTGAGACAAGATCTTGCATCTTGCTATGTAGCTGCCTCAAACTCAATGGTGATCCTCCTGCCTCAGCCTGTGCCACCATGTCTGACCACCTTCATTCTTTTAATCACAGTCACTCCATTCATGCTGGTCAGTTTGCCAGCACTAAGTTCTTCTGAGTGCTTAGTCTTCTGAAAAAGTGCCAACACTCTCATCCACAGCTATTGCTTTTATAACTCCATTTATGTTGGTCTTTTCACTTCCAATGTTACACTTTTTGGTTTTTGATATTTTCATCTTTATTGGTTAATTCCAAGTTTACATTTTTTTAACATGTCAGATGAATTTATTGGAAGGAGAAAATAACAGCACACAACAAACTTTGCTTTCAGAGTACAAGCTGAATTATAAAAAGGCAATAACCAATCACAGACAGATTTTGAAAGGAGCAACGTGACTGATCACTCATGTATTTATGTAGTGACCAGTAGACTGAGCAAGCTGTACAATCAGTACATTATACAATTATTCAGTTAATATACTGTGATGGTCGATCTTGGACTGAGATGCCTAGAAAATAGTAAACACTGAGTGTGACTGTGAGACATTAGCATGTGGGTCAGCAACGAGGGGGAAGACTGACCTGGAATATGGGTGGCAGCAATTAACAGGCTGAGGCCTGGATAAAACAAAAAGCAGAAAGGCCAAGTAGGGCCACTCATGCAAGCTGGGTCCTTCATGAGTGTGCTTTCTCACTGCTGCCATTGCCCATTACATCAGACACCAGCTTCTTTATCCTCTGAATGTGAACTCACGCTGCTCTTCAGTGGGCTTCCAGGCATTCAGCCTTGGACTGGACCGTGCTGTTGGTCCCTCTGAAGCTTCCACCTTTTTAAAGCTAATTAGCTACAGGTTTACCTCGTTCTCCAGCTTGCACACAGCCACTGCGAGTTTAGCCAAGCTCCGAACATGCAAGCCAAGCCAGTAATACTGTGTACACAGCCTACTGGTTCTCCTTCTCTGGAGAATGCTAATGCACTGTGCGAACAGAAATGCTGAAGTGGAAGTGATGGTGTGTGCCTGTAATCCTAGCATTCTGGAGGCTAAGGTGAGAGGATCCCACACTGGAGCCTAGCCTTGGCAATTTAGCAAGACTATCTCAAAGAACAAAAAGGGCTGGGAACACACCTCAGGGTAAAGGTCCTGGGTTCAACCTCCAGTACCAAAAATCAGAACAAAAATCCCCCAGGAAGTGAAGTGTTGCTGGGGAATAATGACTCAAGCATGTCAAGAGTACAAAATAAGAAATAACCCTTTCTCTCCTCATCTTCATGCTATTGCCATGTATTTAAATATTATATGCTATGAACTCCACCAGACTCTTAGTATTTTTAACCAACTTTTTCTAAAGAGATTCCAATAACTTTTAAAAAATCTATTACAGTTACCTACATGTTCATCACTTCTGTTGCTCAGGATTCTTTTGTGTTGATCCACATTTCCACTTTCCTAATCTCTTGATATCCTGCCTTAAAGTCCAGTTTTTTTTTTTTTCTTTACTGGGTGGTTTCAATCAAAAGAGTACTATAACAGGCAGTCTTTGTTATTTCTTCTTGGAACTAACCTTTACAAAGCTACCACTTTGCAAGTTTTAGTGTACAATCAAAGAACACCTAAGGCTGACCCGAAAAGAATGTTGTATCTCTTCCTTTCCTACCTACAGTACCTATCTGTGTGAGACTGGACTTTCTTCATACATTTCAACTGTAACATCTTCTAACAAATTAAATGCAGAAACATTTAACGACAGCTATAGGATGCAGTCACACATCAAAGACTTAACAAAGACAGAAACAATGTATTTTTCTCAAGTTTCTTAGAAAATATTAAAGATGTGTGCTCACATGTGATAGTTCATTTAAAATATCAATAAATATAACTTCTAATATGTAAATATGAATAGGGAGAATGCACGTAACAGCAAGGTTTTTAGAGACTTCAACTCAGAGGAGTAGAAAAAGGCCTGTAAAATACTTGAACACCATCACTCTATTTTGTATAGCTAACCAGCAGCGTTAACTTATCTACTCACCTTGGAGTTTTACTAGCAGCTTGAGGTCTACCAGTGACGGAGAACCTCTTACAGCTTTCAGTGACAGTCTGCTGCAGCATATGTGTCACAGGCTCACCACCACTGACGTATATTATGTTTCGGAGTAGGAAATAAGTTTGTCCTCAATGGATCTAAAGCCACAACATCCAGAAGTTACTAAAATAATGAAGTAAAATGAAGACAATTAAAAATAACTGCATTTTACTCCCTATTCTTCTAACATTTGACTGAAAAAAGGCAACCTGTATGTACATGTACATTCATATAGTCAGCATTTACACATCCAAAGTGTAGCAGTCATTTGCAACATGAATTAGAAAAGGAAAAAAAGAAAGAATTTTCTTGAGCTAGAAAATTAAGAAATCTATAGACTACTCATGAAATTTCTGGTATAACTGACTGGAATGCTTTAATATTTTGCTGTACAGATAATTTCAGTAGATCACTGGTTATTACAATCAACATTTAAAGTCACAGCCTGGTATGGTGCACACAGTTGTAATCCCAAACCTCGGAGAGCAGGAGAATTCCAAGTTGGAGCCCAACCCAGGCAATATAAGTCCTATCTCAAACCAAAAAACAAGAGCTGGGGAACTTCTGCTCAGTGCAAAGGTCCTAGGTTCAATCCTCAGTACAGTCCTCCTGCCCATCACAGTTTTGGGGCTTTTCTCATACTTATATTGACCACAATGATAACTCCTGGCCTGGTGACTCTGAAGGCTCCCTTTGAACCAGTGCAGTCCCTGATCATTGAAAGCTTTAGCCTCACTGGCTACAGAAACAGTCTTCAAGAAAAAGCTCCTTTCTGGGACCTGTGAAAACCCAATGGTAGTGACAGGTTGCTTAGCACAAAGTTTACCCTCACCCACGGCCTGTTCTGCTCTCATCCAGGCCCCAGCTAGAACTCCCAGCTCCTGATGTGCATCAGGGCTGTGATGTCACAGCCATCTTTCTACTTGCAGCTGTGTCTACTATGAAGACTCAACAATAAACCTTTGGCCAGGCTTTGAAAACTATGCAGAGATCATTACAAAACCCAGCCAAGACTTACTTCCTCCTCTCTTCTGACAGGCCACTGTGCCGTTATGCCAGAAATTGGCCAAAGGTGGAATTAGCAGGTGATTTTCAGAAATCTTAGATTTAGTTCAGTTTGGGTGCTGCATGCTTCAATTTGTGCTGTACCTTCTCCAGTCCTGATTTAATAAACTCTCACCTGCACCTTAAAAAATCAGTTTTTGGTATTATACTACCTGAATTCAAACTTCAGTTCCAACTTGTTTCTAATTGTAATTTTGATAGTTACTATTTCCTTTCCTTATTTGCATGAAAATGTTACTTTGTACAGTCATTTTGAAAAGTGAGTTCAATACATAAAGTGCTTAAAACCATTTCTAGTAAATAAAACATTTACCAATGTTAGATTTACCAAATACGGTTTTCTTGTGGACTTTACAAGGGGGCACACCTGAACTCAGTTCCATATACCTCATTTGTGAGGTCTAAAAAGGCACAAAGGCAAGTCTGATATTTTGTGTTTGAATCCCACAAGTGATTACAATCACAATGGCAATAGTAATTGAAAACAGTCAGATTTTAAATAAATTATCATTCACATTACCCAAGTGTTAAACTAAATATAACTGTTGCTAGACACATTTTTCAATTCTTTTTTTTTTTAACGTTTTCCAATTCTAAACCTCAGGCAACCAGAGTCAAATAGATTCAAGAGGGGCAGGAAAGAATCTCTGCAACATGATTCTGTTCAAATTCACTCACAGATATTCAAGGCATAGTCAAAATACAGTGAAGTCACTTCATAAAAAAAGAGCTTTTCTTCATTTTCTCACATATCAACTTATCTGCATTATATATTTCTAGGCAATACAGGCTACTTAAAATCTATACAAAAATATTACAGTACTTATAAAGTGATACACAGCCAAAAAGCAACAGCTACCATGTCATTACAGCTCTAAAACAACCAAAAACCATCGGATGTATTTCGTATCTGTAACCTCTCTAAGGTCTCCTAAGGTCACTTAAGACAAATAAAGCATTCTTACTGCGTTATGTCCTCTAGTTAGATGGCTATTATTGGCACAACTAATTCCAAGAAGGCAAAAGGGGGAGGGGGCTGGTAAAGCTAATTAATTGGGAAGAAAATTGCAGGAAAACCAAAAGGAAAAAGCTCAGTCATATATCCTGGTAAGATTAATTCTTTAAAATAATGAACAATAAGCACTGCTATTAAATAGTCTTTGATGTGCTTTTAACTGTATTCTTTGTAGTGTAAAATAATTAATGTTCTTCCAAGTTATTTTACAGATTACTAGTTTGAAGCAAATGGTATTAACAGTTTAGATATTCAGAGATCACTGTAATACAAGCACAGCTTTAATTTGCCTATGATGTTGGAAGTAACAGCAGTAATTTTCCTCACCCATACAATAATGTACATCAGATGATATCTAAAGTTTCTGCTAGGTGTAAACATTAATGACACTAGATTACTTACTGAATACAGCTAATCCACTATTCTTTTTCTACACTTCCTAAACCAAGTGTTTTTACTAAAAATGGTAGTTTCCAAACTATATCACAGTTTAGAAATACCCAAAATCAAATCCACTTTGACTAAGAACTGAAAATAGAAATTTCGTTACAAACAGAATTGACATTCTTATTTCCTACTAAGCATGTTCCTGGGAAAATAGAAATATTAATTAAAATTTGGAAATGCATGAAAACCTTAAGTAACAGCTACTGAAATAAAACTGTAATAGTGTCTATTAACTTACGAAGTCAAAGCTCAGTATTAGCAAAAGACATAATAAAAAATTAGGTAATTATTTTTTGATCCTCTGCAAGAGGAAGACTTAAAAATACAACTATATTCCTCAGTATAATTTTATTACATAATTCCTAATGTTCCAGAATTTCTCTAACTTTTTAATTATTTTCATATATAGCCCCAAAGTTTCATTCATCATTGCAAACACTGGTTTATTAAATAATACAGAAGTCCATGCTTTAAAAGACAGCATTAAGTTTCTCACAGAGAAATTAAAAGAAAACCTTCCTATCACAGATAGTCAATAGTTTTTGTCTTGCAACCAATATTTCTTTAAAGAAATTGAATGGGAGCTGAGTTTACAGATGATGCCTTGGCTTTGGCCATTCTTCGAACCAATGCTTCTTGTCGTTTTCTCTGAATTTCTTCAGGGGAATACTTTCTATATTTTTCCTCTTCCTCTAAAAATTAAACAAAATATATGTTAATTTATAGCATATAGACTAAATAAGATTCCAAGTGTATACATATAAATACAATGCTCCTCCAGGTTAAAAGATAACTAAGCACTGACAGAGCCATCCCCATTTAATACATCCTTTTCAGTTAATTTCAATAAGCTCAAAAACTGTTCTTTTGACTGTCCACCAAACAATTCTTGTGGATAATGGTATCTAATATATATACCTGAAAAACAGAGATTTAAAATGTTATATAAACTCCAACAGAAAAGCAATAAAACTAAAATTAAATTGGGTAAGTTGGGTATCATGATGCCTGTAATTCCAGCACTCCAGAAGCTGAGGTAAGAGGTTCACTGCCAGTTCAAGGGCAGCCTGGGCTACCTAGTAAGCTCCTGACCACCCTAAAATACTGTACATAGCAAGACCTGGTCTCAAAAACTGGAAAACAAAGGGGTATTATAACCTCAACTAATGTGTTTTACGTAAGCTACATTAATATTTATAACTACTTTTTTTTCTACAGAGTTCTTATTTCAGGTATTGAGAAAAATATTTTGAGGTGACAATTAAATCTCTCACATCAAACTGGCAATCTGATCCACTGTTATGAGATTAATTTGGAGGATGCATTTGTAGAAATGTTAAAATAGTCTCTATTAAACTTAGTTAAAAGTTTATATTAGAAATACTTTCTCATTTAAATACTTTAAATTTAAGGTATTAACCCTAATATATACTTATTGGTTTTTTTTGTTTTTTTTTTTCCGGTACTGGGAATCGAACTCACGACCTTGTGCTTGCCAGGCAGGCGCTGTGCTGCTGAGCTAAATCCCCAGCCCCAACCCTAATATATATTTAAATGAACTTTTATTGGTAAAATTTTATGCTTTAAAAGATGCTCTTAAGAGAGTAAGAATCTGTATCATTGTCAGATGCAAAGTATTTACATACAGGCATTTACAAAAGAGAATTTGTAATAAGACCTCTCTTTTGTTAACTGAAGGAGGAATTTCTCAAAATATATATGTTGTCCCTTCCATATTAAATGGAAATGAGAGAGGACAGTCAGAGTTAAATACATATTTCAAATAAACTCCCCAGATAATTTTGATATGTTAATTCCTAAACTATTTTTCATTTTAGAAATATAGTAAAAGAACTTTATAACTCACCTAATTACCTATTTTAGTCTCAACGCTAAAAAAATAAAAACCTCAGAGTATATACACAGAGTTTACATTCAATTGATTATAAGACTGGAAGGAAAAACTGGTTAATAATGTACAATGGCAGAAAAGAATATAATTTCCTAAAATTGGTCTTGTAATTGGTTTATTATGAAAAATAATTTCCAAAGATATAAAATCATACTAGGAAAATCTGATTTAGGGACAGCGATCCACTTTGCCATTAGTCCTTCCCTTTAACTCAATCTGTAATAAAAATACCCTTGAAAAATCGAACTATTGCGAGACACTAAGCAAAAGTAGTCCTTCTTAATTTTAAAGCACAGAGGTTGCTATGGTTTATATCTGCATGTTCCCCCAAAGCCTCCTGTGCTTACAGGTGAGGCTTTTGAAAGGTGACTAGATTCTGGGGGCTAACAGCTGACTTGCTATTAGGAGGCAGGGTGTGGCTGGAAGAAGCAGGTCACTGTGGGAATGCCCTGGAAGGGTTTACCCCTCTCAGTTCCTCCCTTTTCTGTGCTTCTTGTCTGCCTCTCCTCTGCCACACCCCCTGCCTTGGAGCCAGGTGTCTATGGACTAAAACGTCTATAAACTATGAGCTAAAATAAAACTTTCCTCCTTAATTTATTGGTTTCAGATACCAAGACAGGGATATGGAAATTTTGTTTCTCTAAAGGAACAGAAAACCATATGCTCTTTGATTATAACTGTTCAACTACACACACCACTGTAGCATAAAAAGTCATCAACAATATATAAATCAATAGTATGGTGTATTCAAATAAAACCTTGTTTACGGACAATAAAATCTGATTTGATACAATTTCTGAATGTCATGAAATTTTTTTTTGATTTTTTTCAACTACTTAAAATGTAGAAACTACTTTTAGTGTAGTGTCTTTGTACAGAAACAAGTTATTGACTGAATTTGGACAGGCCATAACATGCCCTGAATTAAATCAATAAAAGTTAAGTGGGTTTTGCTCCAAAGGTATTCTCCGGAGAACAGCTTGCTACACACCAAAGTTTGGAGGTAGAAACATACAAAATATTGACAAGGTTAATATTAATTAAGAACCACTCTCAATAAGCTTATAGAAAAATTGGTAAGATAAGCTTAAAAGCAGGTTATTCATCTATAAAAAATGCAGATAAAATGACAGGAGTTTTGGGAAAGCTGAAATACTCCAGAGAGATTAGTTTGTAATGGTATTTTAACTATGTGTAAATAAATTCATGTTAGAAACATGACTGAATTAGTTACAATATGTTCACTTCAATGTAAATTTAGATATGTCAAATTATAGACTAGTAATTTTGAAAGCTTCAAAGCATCTAGTTTGAGCTATGATATGAAGAAATATTCTTTGGCAGTGTTTTTAAGTACATAAATTTGTTTTGTTTTGCTTTGTTTTTAAGACAAGGTCTTGCCATGTAGTTCAGGCTGGCCATGAATTCTGGGCAATTCTCCTGCCTCTGCCTCCCAAGTGCTAGAATTACAGGAATGAACCCCTATGCTGGGTTTAAATATATAAGCTGGTGTAACATTCTGTAGGAGAATCTAGCAATATCCATTAAAAATGAAAATATTCTTTATGCCAGTTTTCTAGGAATGAATAAAACACAGAAACATGCAAAAGTTTATGTAAAAGGATATTCATTATAGTTTGTAATTACAAAATAAGTAAGTCCTGCAACCAACCTAAACTTCCCCCAACAGGAAAAAAAGATATTATGGTACAACCATATAACATAATATTGCTACATTGCCACCTATTCATTAAAAGAAATAAATCTATATGTATTAACTGGAAAAAATAGTAATACTGAATAAAGACAAAAGCAGGGTGCTAAATAATGGGCATATAGTATATTAGTCCTGTATTACACACAGATTTATGCAGATATACACTATGTGTGTAACCATAGAAAATGCTCCATGATGTATATAACAAACGAGTGGTTTGTTCTAATAAAATGGTAGAAGGAAATGGGAAACTGAAGATTTAATTAATTTGTTACAGCAATTATTCTATATGGTCTTATTTTTCTCTTTAAACAAGCAGCCTACTACCGTTGTCAAGTTAATAAAAAGGGGGGGAGTCATTTAAATAGGCAAGCTGTAGCAGAAACGACCAAAAAAAGTATTACTCAGAAGCTAATGACAGAAAATTACTTAATGTTAAAAGAAACCATAGCCGGGCGTGGTGGCGCATGCCTATAATCCTCGCACTCTCCCGAGTGCTGAGGCAGGAGGCAGGAGGCTGAGGCAGGAGGATCCTTGCAAATTCGAGATCAGCCTAGGATACAAAGAGACCTCAAGGCCAGCCTGAACTGCACAGCGAGACCCTGTCTCAAAAAAGCCAAAAAAAAAAAGAAACCATGTGGGAACGGTGTTACACATCTTTTACCCCAGTATTATGGGAGGTTGAGATAGGAAGACTGTAAATTCAAGCCCATCCAGGGCAAATTTTGTGACTTAGCAAGATTCTGTCTCAAAAAGATTTAAAAAAGGGTAGGCATGGCATTCAATGATAAGGCCATGAGTTCAATCGCCAGGACCACAAAATACTTATATACATAAGCTAAAAATTCACCACATTAGCACTAATCTATGTAACTGATATATTCAAAGTTATCTTCAAGTGAGAGAGACTAAGAAAAATCTCTAATTATAAGCCAGCATACTAAATGCTGTAGCACAAGTCAGCACCTCAGTGAAAGTAAATCATTGTAAGTAGGTTGACACACACTGCGTTTTAAAGGACAAATGGAAATTGGCCTTGTGTGTACCCTGAGGGCTTTAATGTTTTTGGTAAAGAAATCAACATTTCCAAAGACCTGAGACTATAAGAGGTCTGATCCACTTTTTTTTTTTTTGTACCAGGAATCGAACTCAGGCCCTTGTGTTTGCCAGACAGGCACTTGCGCTGCTGAGCTATATCCCTGGCCTCAAGGTCTCTGATCATTAAGGACCAAATTTATGCCCAACATATTCCCTTATAAAAAAATACACTATCAGTGAATTACAAGATTTTCATACAATAATGCATAATATCTAACTCAAAGGTTGTGGCAGGAAGGTATTCACTGGTAAGACAGAAATATACACTAATATTTAATTACAACTTGTGATAAAAGGGATTAAAGAATTTAGAAATGGTAGAAAATAAAGAAAAGATCTACTCATAGACTCCCAAGGAGAAACCTGTGAGAAATTATTACTTATAATGAGACATAAGGATAAGAAGCACCAATGAAATAGAATAGGGGGACAATGTTGGGAAGCAGTTTTAGGCAAAGCCACAGCCATCTCATTCTTGAACAAGGAAAGAATATATCCTGTTTGAGAAACATAACTGAGATAGCAAAGCATTAGTATGATAGGCAACTGAAGGAAAGAGAATTCAGAGCTTTGTAGATCACAGTGTATAATTTGGATTTCATTTGAATTATATGGATACTTACTGAAGGCTGTTTCACACACAGGAATGTCATATTTGCTGATCTGATTTTTTAAAAAGTATTTTACTATTTGTCGACTGGAACTGAAATGGACTATAAAAGACTTACAATAATCTAGTGAAGGAATGTATATTTGGAAAGGGTGGTTGTGATCAAGAACAAGAAAGATGGACGATCTCGAGATATAAATTCTGAGGTACAATCAATGGAATTTATTGACAGAATGGAGAATTGGGGAAAATGGAAATTGGAAGAATCAAAAATGACAGGTTCTATGAAATAAGTAAATCACAATTCTAACTGTCACAACCAGCACCGAGTTTTATAACAGGGTATCATGCTAGCAAATATATTTAATTAGAAAACTTCAAAATTTCAATTATTATTCACCTCACTATTCTGCTAAAAGTAGGAGACACTCTAAAGTTTTAAACCATGAGATACTCAGCAAATATACATATTAAACCTAACACTTTATTTAGAAGCATGAATTTCTAGAAAATAAATTGAACAAATATTTAGACTACCTACTATATGCCAGTCACTGCCAGTGCTAAGAAAGAATCCAATGTAATCTTTTGAAATACAAACCACGTAGCCTTTGGGTACGGTAATTATCTATATCTATAGAAGTATCAAAGAAAACTACTTCCATACATACCTTTTGAAGACTCTTTCAAAGATTCACAAAGCTTCATCAAAGACTGCTGTCGGTCAGACTCCCATGAGTTGACAGTTTTCTTTTTCTCTAAACTCCGTGTAATTTTGGTAGCAGTCATATGTTCTGCTATACAATTCTGATTGAGCTGAGAAAGAATCTGAGAATTTTTCAGCTTTGTAAATGTATACTTTGAAGATCTACCTGTTTTGTTAAGGTCACTCTGAGTTTCATCTGTCATGGCTATATGGGATAGTTGCTGAGTAGTTGGTTTCTTACTAGTAACAATTTCTGTGTTAGTGTGATCTGAGCTCACATTCAAATCTGAACTTCTTGAAAGGACTGATTTGGAACTAGTCACATGTACTGGAACATCAGAATGACTCCAAGACACATGCACATTATTCATCTCACAATTTGAGTTCTTAGAGTACATGGTCAAATTTGTTGTTCCCAAAATATGTGGAGAATTTCCACACGTTTCCCTTTTCTCCATCATCATTGGTTTACCAATTTGTGAGTTATCTGTCAAGAAAGATGTCTGTACTGAAATGCTGCCCAGATTTAAATGCTGTGGTTGCTCCAAGTGACTTCCTCCTTTAGACACAGTAGACATACTTTTGGCTCCAAGTTTGGAATTACTGATCTCAAGACTACTCTTGCTGTCCTTTATGTCTTGTTGCTGGGTCAGTCTTTCAATATCATCACATGCTTGATATAACAAATCATCATCTACATCACTTGTTTCCCAAGTAGTCTCTAACTTATGACACGCTTTAATAATTTCATTAGCAAATAATGGATCATTCCAATCATCAAAGAAAGAGTCTAACTTTGATGCATTAGTCTGACTTGAGTTACTAACACTGGTTTCACTGACTAACGTTGCAGAACCAAAAGGGTCAATACTAACAGGTGCTTTGAAAAAATGCTTAAAAATGGGCTTATTTCTTTGTTCACTAGAGGATTGTGCATTCAAAGACTTTTTTTCAGAAGCATGTATATTGGAAGTAAAGTTCGCGTGAATATTTTCTTTTACTTTTTTCAGTTTAGATGCAACTGCACAATCCTGAGTTTTGTCTTGAATAACAATTTCATTGAAAGACTTTGCAAATTTCATTCTGTTTCCAGTGAGTGGTAATTTGCTTGTTTTACTGTTTGGATTTGGTGAAAATCTGTATTCTTTAGCATCTATTAGGTCTTGGTTATGTGTGTTTGAAGGAAGATCTTGTAGTATTTTTGAATTTCTTAACCTGGTATCTAGACTTATATTCATTCTTGATCCACCGTTAACCTGAAAAGTTTTGGAAGGCAGAAGTTCAAGCATTTCAGTATTTTGCATAGCAAAAGGCTCATTTCTTAGTAAGCTTTCCCAATCTTCCTCAAAATCACTGGCAGTAAATGCAACCATGTGCTTATCAGACCCTTCCTCCTCCTCAGTTTTGGGAGTCACGCAGGATTTTGTCATTGTGGGAATATCCACTTGAGGAAAAAGTGGTACTGTGGTTTTACTTGGCAGTGTTTCAGTGACTAGACTTTCATTAGTAATGATACTCTGCTTTGTCAAAGCACTTTTTTCCCCCAAAGTAGTATCAATGTTGTACAAAAAAGCTTGTGACAGATCTTGGCTTAGCTGTCCACTACATTTCTGAGTAGAACCATCAAAAATTGCATTAAAGGCTGCTTCAACACTTTGATCAAATGGCTTCTGACTGTTGGTTTGATCATTTGCCCCAGACAGCGAGGTGTTTCCTTCCATTGGCTTCTTTAATGTAGCATTATCCATTTCAGGAACTGTATCACATGATGAATGCATCTGTACACAATCTTTACAATTAGGCGAAGTCTCTGTGTCTGAAATTATCTGGATAAAATCAAGACCCTTCTTGGTTTGTTCTTGAATCACATCTAGTTCTTCCATATTTTTATCAAATTGTTCAGCCAGTTTCATAAGTTCTTTTTCTCGATTTTGTGTTTTTAACCTATTAAGCAAAATTTTAATAATTATAACTAAGAAATCATTTGACTGTATTATATTCAGTTATTTAATATGATTCAATATGTTCAAACTTCAAAATTTTAACTTACAAAACAATTTAACTCCAAAATTTTTCAACTCAAAACTGAGAAAATTTTATTTTAATATATTTATAAAAACATTAGAAGCTGGGTGTCGTGGCGTACACCTGTAATTCCAGCACTTGGGAGGCTGAGGCAAGAGAATCATTGTGAGTTTGAGGCCAGCCTGGGCTACAAAGTGAGCTCAAGCCCAGCCTGAACTGCATAGCAAGATCTTGTCTCAGAAACACAAAAAACAACCCCCCACAACCCATTATTATTAAAATGTAAAATATTCACTGAATCTCAAAAAAGCTCAAAGTTTGAACTCACTTTGTGCAGCTCATTTTTACTCTTGATTTTTCCTTTGCTACAGTGGGAGTACAGGGAATAGCAGTTTCACCAATCCAGATGCCCAGCATAGAATTAGTTGTTGGTTTGTCAACCTTTGGAAAAGGGAGGGGGAAAAAAGAAGAACTGAAAATAATGGAATATACACAGGGTTATCCTTCTGTACCACCTGACTGAATTCTTCTTATCCCTGATGAAATATAATCTATTGTTGGACAATCCATGTGATGTAAGCTGAGAACAATTAGGTACAATTAATGTCAGGACTGAGTTAAAGATACGTCATGAGTGGTGCTAAGAATGAGGTAGGGATAATAAGAAAATATAAGTAGAGAGAATTAAAGAATATTAATCAAGATAAAATTTAGGAAAAGGTCATTGTAGACTCTGTATTGGTTATTTCTTTGATTGTTGAAGCAAAATACCTGACACCCAAACTAAAAAAGGAAAGGTTTATTTTGCTCACAGTTTGTGGAGGTTTTAGTCTATACTCAGCTGGCTCCAAGGCACAGTGGCACATGGCAGCAGTTCATGATAGTGGAAAACAACAAAAGCAGCAAGAGCATAAAGGGAGGAGCAGCAGAGAGTAAGCATCTTTCCCTGCCTTATATTTTGTGCAGGCTACCCACCCTAGTACACACCCATAATCCCAGCATTGGACCATGAATCAATCATAAACTCTAGAAGCCTGCCTCATGATTGCATGAGGCTTTGAGGGGACATCTAGACACAAGCCATAACAGACATGGAAGTTTTTACTATGCTTTTCAGTTACTTGATTTCCCCTCAAATCCTAGAGGATGAGGTTTATGGATTAACTGTAAACCAAATCAAATTGATTAACTAGTTTTTACTCGATTTTTATAGTAACTAGAATGTATGTAAATAACCGTCATATGAAGTAAAAAAAAATAATCTTATGGGGCCAAGGATATAGCTCTGTGGTAGTGTTTGCTCAGCATGTGCAAAGCCCTAGGTTTGATCCTAGCATAGCCAAAAAATCCCCACTAAAACCAAAGACAAAACGAATCATATTACTAGATTACATGGGACAGGAAGGAAAAGACTCTTTCTATGATGGCTTGGTTTCAAACACAATGACCAACACAAAGACAATGCCATTTTACACTTATATGCAAGTAAATTTAAAGCACTCCTATAATTTGGTGCTTTAAAATCCTCAGTAAAAAAAGCAGTTTTCTTTTCTTTTTTTTTTTTTTTGGGTTTTTCTCCGGTACCAGGAACCGAACTCACTACCTTGCGCTTGCCAGGCAGGCGCTTTGCCGCTGAGCTAAATCCCCAGCCCAAAGCAGTTTTCTTAATATCCACTTAAACTTAGTTGACTTGAGCTTTTCAAAATATTCAAGAAAATCATTTTAACTTTTGGATTCAGTATTTTCTTTGTTTCAACAACAATCTTTAAGGAATTTAAGAAATATTCTTAATGATTTAACTGTAGACTCTGACCACTTACGTAGTGATTTTCAATTTATAGAATTTTTAAACATTTAATATAACAGGAATCCAATATTTGTATTTCATTAATAATTACATAACTTATTGACTCTTAATTTTAATCCAGATGTTGTAAAAGGTACCTAAACGAATTTACTTCAGCTCATTCTAGAGCATAGTGTAAAGTTTCAATAAATGAGGGAAAGTTATCTACCATCTTCAGACAAACACTAAACACTGCAGAAAGTGAAATGACTGTTCAATTAAAATGGGAGTACATGTTTAAAAAATGCCATCTCTGAGAACTTTACAAAGAAATTAAGTAATGATTTGAGGATAACTCACCTGAAAATAAGTAACATAAATATTTTCATTCTGAGAACATGACAAGCTTCTAAAGAGACCTTGAGACTATGAAAAGATTTATATGCTTTAAAAGCGCTCAGCTGAAGAGGGTAATATTCACAAGTACCTAATTTCACTGTATTTGTTCTCTCACACAAGTTACCACTTGCATTTCTTTATATGAGCTATTACTTCCATCCCATTTAGGTAAAGGATCCAATAATTTACTCAACTATCTTTTTATCACTATTTAGGCTGGCCAGCCCAAACACATTTTATTATGCTTCTTTCATGTGAAACTCACAATTAATGAAGACTTATTGTTAACTTACAGAGTAAGTAAAACTGCAGCACAAACGCTATTTACCTAATGAACCATACATACATAAATGAGTTTCTATGACAGGCCAAACATGGAATGTCAAACTAGTAGCAACAGAGTTGTTTTGATTGTGCTACTTGTAATTTTGGACATTTTACAGCTAAGAGAAATTTTATATCCTGTCTCCTCTATATGGATGATGGTGAGTCCTCATAACCACATACTGGGCAAATGCCATCTATTGTTTATGGCCAACTTATAGTAACTATCCAAGGAAAATGTTAAGGAAAAATACCATCATTCCTTCAGAGAAAATGCTAAGCAAACACTGCATGTTCTCTAGATTTAAATGTTAAATAGGGAAAAAAGAGCAAAGCAGCTCAGGGTACTCTCAAGTATTGGCTTTATGTTAGGAATAGTGACAGGGTTAATACAATAAATGCTACTGTGTTATTGGATTTCTTTGTGTCAAATGATTGACTTAAACTCGTATTTCTATTTTAGGCTGGCAGAACAGTAACTGACAGCAAGAAAAACTTTTGAAGATGATTCTATTACAACAAATAATCAAAACTATTATAATTAACCTTAAATTTATAGTGTCCTACTTTATAATTTTTATCTAATTTAATTGTTATGAGACAAATAATAATTCTAGCTTGTGGCTGAATGAACTAAGGTTGTAAGAGTTTACAGGACTTGCCTGAGGTCACACAGCAATAACAGGCTGAATGAAGACTAAATTTAAATCCAGTTTTAAAGTGATAAGAAGACGCTAAGGCAATGAATACAAAGAGCAGTTTCAATGGGGAGAAACTACACGATAGACAGTACACAAATACTAATAACAAACGCATTACAAAAATTTAAATTTGTACTGACTTACTCTATTATTTTAGTAACTTGAAAAATGAGGCCACGTTGTTACATTAAAATCAAACTATATACCAAGTTCTTGACAAAAATCACAACTCTAAAATAACAAAGAAATTGTATCCTTAGGAAAATATAAACAGATGGCCCTCTGTGCCTGCAGGTTCCGCATTCAAGGATTCAACCAACTGGAGACTGAAAATACTCAGAAAACACTTGGGTCTATACAAAACACATACAGACTTTTTTCCCCAAATAACACAGTATAACGACTACAAACTTTGTAGACATAGGAGTAATCTAGGTAAGACTTAAAGCACATTTGAGGTGCTCAGAGTGCGGCTCAATGGAAAAGCACTTGCCGAATGTGTGAGAACCTGAGACTAATTTCCAGCAATGCAAAAAAAAAAAAAAAAAGGAAAGAAAGTATATGGGAGGACAAGGATCAACTACTTGCTAACATTACACCCTTTTACATAAAGGAATTGAATCCTGCAGATTTTGCTATCTGTGGGAGTCAGAGAACCAATCCTCTAGGGATCCCAAAGGACCACTGAATATATTACCAATCTCATTTACGTTTCTTTAACCAAAACATGCATTTCAAAAACAGTAAAGGTAAAAGTGATCTTTACTGCCTTATTTTTGTAAAAGAGAATTATAAAAGAATATTACTTTTATAAATGAACTGTACAAAGACTTAGTGCCCATTTTTCATTGCTTTAAAATAAACTATAAAACGAGATATTTACCTGAGGAGCAATACGATTAACAATATGTGAAATCACATCACTATCTGTGGTGTAAATCTGCTTTTTTCTTCCTTTACCTAAAGAAACAAAGACATTTCTATAAATTTTAAACAGAAAACAAATAATTGCTGGCATTTTTTGAAAATTATTAGCGCTGCTTAGATGACTGCACTCTGACATTACATGGAAATAACACAGATAAATTCACAAAAGATTCTCAACAGCATTCATATCGTACACAAGTTCTTGGTGTTACCTGAAATTTTATTTAAAGCTTAGCTACTTATCAGATATTCATATAAAAATGTTAATAAATTACCTAACTGTTTTGTCATTGGAGAATTCTGGTCCCAAAAGATATCATTCTGTCCATCTGGATCATTTGGAGAATTGAAGGTACATGATAATAAATCCATTTTCAGCATTCTCGTTGGCGTTTCACACTTTTCTATATGAAATGCAATTAAAATAACATTCTATTTTAAAGCATTACTTGACTTCACAGCACTCCAAAATCACATAGCTTAGACTAGATTACAATATAAAACTTTCTTGTAAAGACAATTACATGAAACATAACTGAAAATTGTTTTACACGAAAATCTAACGTTAACACTTCATACATTTAACACTGTAAAGAGCAAGTATTGTCAGAAAACTTGGTAGCTCCACAAGTGTATAATACTGTATAAGCTCAGGCGGTCCATGTATTACCACTGACAGAGTTGGGGGAACCACCTGTAACTTACAGGCGCATTTCAAAAAAATCAAATGCATCCTAACAGAAAGTCCTGTAAAAGCCTTTATTTCCTCGTTGTTATTTTCATCTAATCTACATTAATTAGCATATGCGATCTATCTCCTAGGAAGTTTTATCTAAAATAGCTTAAAAACGTTTAGTTTGTGCTTTTCCTAGCCGAGTTTTAACAACATATCCCAGTAAAGCTTCTCTGAGTTTTGTTCTTATTATGCCATATTTATTAAATCTTTTTCAAGAGAACACCAACAACTCATTCTACTCTTGGGATGTCACGCGCAGCAACTTCCGGTTTCTTTAGCAGGCCATCACTACGGGCTTGGAGGGAGACCAGCAGGAGCTTTTCGTGCGCCCCGTTCCCTAAAGCACACTAGGGCAAGAAAGTTTAAGGAGAACGGTTCTGCTGAGCACAAGCCGAGGGCCTCCTCGCTGCCGACCGGGGCAACACGGAATGCAGGTCCCAGCGCACACAGGTAACACGGTAGCTCCGAGCCGCGGGGCAGGGTTCTTTACGGACTCGCGAAGGGCGCGGCCCAGAGAGGCGCGGCGGGGGATCCCCACCCCCACCCCACACTTCAGCTAACGCCTGGAATGCAGGCTGCAGCGCCGAAGCCAGGGAAAGCTCGCTGTCCGCGTCTCACCCTTGGGGTGACTTTTACTGCACGAGGCGGCGGCGGGAGACCCCTCTCCACGCCCGCGGGGCTCCCAGCGGCGGGCCGACCTCAGCCGCCGCCTCCCCGGCTCGACCCTCCAGCTGCATTCCTCAGCCGCTGCCGTTTTGCGCGGCGTGCTCTTCGGGCTGGGGGTGCCCCCGTATTTTCTCCTCCGACTCATTCCTAGGAGCCCCCCTCCGCCGGCGGCTTCACATTTTGCAACGAGAAGGAAGCAACAACTTTACAAATCGGACTCCGCGCCAACGGCCGCTGCCATTTTGGCTGCTGGCGCGCGCGCAAGAGGCTGCCACTGATTGGCTGCGTCTGGACGAGGGGGCGGAGCTGACAGGTTGCCGACAGTGTGCGCGTGCGCGGCCTGGACCTCTGCGCTCAGTGGAGGGTGTCTTAGCCTCAGACTATTGAATGGAGGTCAAGACCGAGTAGTTTAGAGTGTGAGGTTACAGTGTTGATAGGAGATTGAATCCACTAGCTACTCTTTATTAAATTTACAATCAAAAGTACACATTGCTCAAATTCAGACTATTGTGGGTTTTAGCAAAAGGAACTAGTAGGTACGGATGAGGAGGAATCCTAAATTTTCATAGGTGATCTGTGCATAGAGAAGTACAAAAAAGTAGGAAAATTATCAAATTTAAATAAATTATTTAAATTAAGTAAAGTAGGACATAACGGAGCTGCTGGATACAAAGTCAACACTGAAAGCTCAATTGTATTTTATTAGTAACAAAAACTGAAGTTTTCTGGTCAGGCGTGGTGGTGCATGCCTGTAATCCCAGCACTCCTGAGGCTGAGGAATTAGGAACGCTGCAAGTTCAAGGTCAGCTGGGCTTCATAGTGAATTTAAAGACAGCCTGAATACTTAGGGAGACGTTACCTCAAAACAAAACAAACAACAGAAAATCCCCCGAAGCTTTCAAGATACATGACATAGTAACATGAGATAATAAAAAACTGGAAGTAAATGTAACCAAAGATTGTTGCCTATACAGCACAAACTGTAAAGTATTTTTAAAAGAAATTAAGGCTTATTCTATAGTTTATACTATATCCATTGAATATGAAACTTGCTACTGTTACAAAATTGATCTATAAATGCAAATATATTCCGGAGCTCAAGAGTATGTGTGTGTTTGCAATGTGACATGTTTATTCTGAAATTTATATGGAAATGCAAAGGGTCAAATATATTCAAGAAACTTGAATCTCTTGAAGTGTAGTGAAATTGGATCTATCAGGTATCAACACTTAAGGTTCTAACAGTTAAGACAATGATACATTGATAAAAGGCTAGACAGACTGATGAAGGAAACAGGGCGTGGTAATCCTAGCACTCTGGGAAGCTGAGGTGTGAGAATCTACAAGTGGAACCCAGCCTGGGCAACTCAGTGCAAAGGCTGTGGTTTCAATACCCGGTGTTCCAGAAGAAAAAAAAAAATCATTATTTTAAAAGATTGTATAATAATTTGTTTTCATGACAGAAAATGAATTTTTTTTGTGGGGGGGTGGTGGTGGTTCCGGGACCAGGAATTGAACTCAGGACCTTGTGCTTGCCAGGCAGTCACTGTACCGCTGAGCTAAATCCCCAGCCCCCAGAAAAATGAATTTTAAATGGAACAAAAGGTTACCACTTACAAAGAAAATAATTACAATTTTTACTAAACTAAATGGACAACTTGAGAACTTCTGTGTATCAAAAATATTAAAGGGAATGAAGGGCAAGGCAGAAATTGGGAGAAGATAGTTGTAAGATATATAAGGGCTGATATATCAGCTATGTAAAGAAAGGATCAATAAGCAAAATTGAGACATTTGAGCAGGGTTTTCATAACAGAAAAATCTAAACAGTGAATAAAATTATAGAAGGTGTTTAACTTAATTGTTGATCAGGAAAGGATAAATGAAAACTTTCAGAATGGCTAAAATTAAAAAGATGAACAATGCAGATATCAAGGAAGTAAGCAAGCCTGTGGGAACTGTCCTATACTGCCAGTCAACAGTAGAACTTGGTAAAACCACTTTGGAAAACAATTTTTGATCTAGTAGTCCCATTCTTAGGACTATGCCCAGTGGGTACTTGTCCTCAAGATACATTTTATAAAATGTTCTTAGCAGTATAATTCAACAAACTGTGAGTCAACCAAATGTCTCTCAGGAGCAGAAATGTATTGAGCTATATTCACACAAAATGCTACCTAGTGACGAAAAACTATAGCTCCATGTAACAACAAAACATAAAGTAGAGCAAAAGAGGGTAGACTTCCTAACCCACATCTTACCTACATACTATCTATAAAAGTCCAACAGGCAAAATTACTCTACATTGTATAGAGATGTCAGCCTAGGTGTTAAAACCATAAAGAGAAATCTAGGAAGTGATTGACATAAAAGTCATTATAATGGTCATTTTTGAGAAGAAGGGGGGACAGTAAGACAAGTGAATAGAGGAAGGGGTGCTTATTGACTTTGGTCATTATTATTATTATTTTTTCTGGTATCAAGAATCGAACTCACAACCTTGCACTTGCCAGGCAGGGGCTGTGCCGCTGAGCTAAATCCCCAGCCCACTTTGGTCATTATTTTGTTCTAGTTGTTGATGCAAAACTATTCATCTTGTGATAAAAGGCACAGCTCATTGAGCTGTGCCTTTTGTTTTGCATACTTTTTCAGGTATGTGTTATATTTATTTATGGAAATACTTTAAAGTCCTAGTATTAGGCAAAAATCCTAGCTTCTACCAAGAAATCGATGAATTTCTTCTTCGTAACTTATTCTTTTTGCTCTCTTCAGTTTGGCTAACAGGCATCCTAGAACTGAATTTGAAATTCACTTCTAGCAATTTTATGTAAACAGTTTATGACCAAGTAAGTTCATTCTTTTTTCCTTAGTCTTGTTTACTAATGTTTTCCCTTGCTGTGATTGTTTTTAATCTATATATATTTAAACTGTTGTTTACCATTATGTAATTATAATTCAATATACCTGTTTGTAATACAAGTGATTTATATCTCTTAAAGTTCGTATTTGTTACTTGAGCCACCATTTGGCTAATTTAGTAGCAATGTTGTTATTTCTCTTAGGGATCTCTCCTACACTAAACTGATTGAGAAGCCTAGATGTGCTCACTGACACACACACACACACACACATATACTCACAATTTACCTAAAGAAATAACCAACTCACATTTAGATAGTTAAAGTACTTAGAAGAATTTAATAACACTTTCGGGAGCCAGAATTGTGGTAATCTTTTGAACATATTAATGCTGCAAGTAAGATAACAGTGAATAATCTCTCCTAACTGCCCAAATCTCTAGTGTCTAAGTAACCCATTGTAAAAAATGTTAGCGCACCTTGCATACTTATAATGTGTAATCATTATCTAATCATAGGATGCTATCATACATTTTAGTTTCAAGGTTTCTTCACATAATTTGTCATAGTCAAAAATGTACTTCAAATTAAAATGTTTTCTGAGTAGAGCTCTAGAAATAAGTTTAACTCTTTTGAGAAGATACCTAGAAGGGCAATAGCTGGGTCAAATGGAGTTTCAGGTTTTTGAGGATTCTCCATACCGATTTCTATGGTTCTACTAGTTAACGTCCCCATCAATAATGTAGAACTCCGTGCAACTTCGCCAGCATTTATTATTTGATTTCTTGATGATGGTCATTATTTCTTGGGTAAGATGGAATCAGTGTTGTTTTACTTTACAGTTCATTAATGACCAGCAGTGTTGAGCATCTCTTCGTGTATTTATTGGCCATTTGTACTTTCTTTTGGTTTGGGTCTTTTATTGGAGGTGGGTCTAATCTTTTGTATTCTGGATAAACTGTCAATATTGGTGTTCTGTCTGAAGTACCTGGCAAAAATTGTTTTCTGATTTATTTCACTCTATTATTATTATTATTATTATTTTTTGCTGTGCAGAAGCCTTTTAATTTGACGTGCTCCCATTTGTTTATTCTTGGTCCTACT